GCTGCGGCTTATATAACGGTGCGGCTAATCTATGGATTTTTACAGCTAACGGCCACCACCTTTAACTCTATGGGCTCTATGGCCGGTCCGCGGACCCCCACCTTTAAGCGGCGGGTTCCAGCAGGAAAAGCTGGAGGCCGGAAAAGAGTGAGACAGGTAGCGCGCAAAAGTAAAAGTGGAACCGAGAGTGGTATGCCGCTGCTGCGGCTTATATTCAGGTGCGGCTTATAGTCCGAAAATTACGGTAATTAATTTTTAAGCTGTGATTAATCTGATTAAAAATGTTAATCGTTTGACAGCCCTAGTTCATATGTAATCTTGTAAAGTGTGTTTTAAGAGAGAAACTTCAATAAAGACAGTTAATTGAAGAAGATGTTTTCACTGCAATGGAAAATATGAGGGAATGAAGACCTTTTAAACTCTCTAAAGTGCATGTTAGAGTACTTTGATTTCAATGGTATCCACTTGAATCCATCTCTCACAGTTTTTAGATGTTGCACCGACGCTAAATTCTATGAATCACAAACGAAGAGGAGACAGCAGCAGAGATTTGTTTCCAACACTCACTGAGCTGATTGAACGATCCCTGCCGATCTCTCTGGACCAGGAGACATCGGAACCGCAGGTGAAAGAGTTGGACTGCAGACAGATGGTCTCCATGGGAAGAACTCTGGCTTTAGCCTGACGAGAGAGAGAACAAATGTCTAAGTTAATGTCAATAAATACAAAAAAGAAAGTGGCCAAGGATCACCTGAAGTGTAAAAAGCAACACATGGATTCCGTGTCTTTTTCTTGTGTTTGTACATTTTGAAGCAAACATGAAATGGGATAAAAAATAGTTTGTTTAACACTTTTTTGTTTACTACATAATTCCACATGTACTCTTTCATAGTTGTGATGTGTTCAGCATTAACCTACAATGTATAACATAATTAAAACAAATAAAAACCTTTGAATGAGAAGGTGTGTCCAAACTTTTTACTGGTACTGTATATATAAAATATTCTTTGAAGTATGAAATGTTGATATAACACACTTTTTATTGATATACTAATATGTATTTGTGTTTGCTTGTTGTTGGCATACAGTATGTTTTGTGTTATGCCACATGTATTGTTGATATTTATGTTTTGTTCTGTTATAACGCCTTGTGTGGAATGCTTTGGCAATACTATGTTTAAAATGTGGTCATGCCAATAAAGCCCCTTTGTATTGTATTGTAGGGAAAACACTGAATGTACTCTTCCAATCTGAGAGTAACATGATAACAAAGGTATCCCAACTGTAGCTGTGAACATGACAGGATGTGTGATTACCTAGAAGAGCATCAGGACTGTTTGAGGCATATGATAGCTATGTGATTAACATGATGATTCAGCCTCTATGGAGAGAGACATATGACAAGCATGATCATTTCTGACGTGGAGCTAATCTGAAGTAAACATTGAATACTGCTTTCTATTCCTCCATCTTGTGACTGTGTAACTCCCTCTCTTGGATATCAGCATGTGAAGGACACTGTTCAGGAACTAGTTGATGCTCTGTATGTGATGACTACTGAGATTGAAGCTCAAGACGGGGACCAGTGATTAACATTTTTAAGTGTTCAGAAAAAGTAAGAACTTTGAGATTTTGAGAAAAAGTAAGAATTTTGAGATCTTGAGAAAAATTCAGAATTTTGAGAGAAAAAAGTCAGAATTTTGAGTTTTTTAAGGAAAAATTCAGAATTTCTAGGAAAAAGTCAGAATTTTAAGAAAAAAGTCAGAATTTTGAGTTTTTAAGGAAAAAGTCAGAATTTCTAGGAAAAAGTCAGAATTCTTAGGAAAAAGTCAGAATTTTCCGAATTTGAGAAAAATACATAATTAAAAAATTCATAATTCCTCCATCTAGTGACTGTGTAACTCCCTCTCTTGGATATCAGCATGTGAAGGACACTGTTCAGGAACTAGTTGATGCTCTGTATGTGATGACTACTTCCATTCTGGAGAGGATCACAGATACATGGATCCTGAGATTGAAGCTCAAGCCGGGGACCAGTGTTGCTCTCCCTGAGGTTTCTCCCATTTTTCCCTTTAAACTGTGGGTTTTCTCTGGAAGTTTTTCCTTGTACGATGTGAGGGTCTAAGGACAGAGGGTGTCGTATTGTCATACTGATATTCTGTACAAACTGTGAAGTCCACTGAGACAAATGTAACATTTGTGATATTGGGCTATATAAATAAACATTGATTGATTGATTGATTGACCAGTGAGATTTTTCTAATATATAAACTGACCAAGACGATATTGGAGTCGAGGTCCAGGCCCCAGCGGCTCAGCTCGTTCTGACTCTCAGGGTTGGTGCTGATGTTCTTCAGAAGCTGTTTTATGGCGTTCGTGTGCTGCTCTCCGCTCACATTGATGTGCATGGTCAGGTCCTAACAAACATGAAACATATTATTATATATAGATGTATAAACTTAACACAAAAAGTAAGGCAATGTGTGTTTTGGTAGATGATTTCTATGATTGCTGTTTGGCATTGGCAGAGGAGATGTGTCACATTTTCATGGGTGCACCCCACACACTCAGATCTGCTGCTCATCCCACAAATGCTCGTTCCTCACAAATGTGGCGCCATTGGAAAGGTAAGAACACAGGCTCTCCAACGGTATAAGATTTATTGCAAACAACACAGAAATCATCTACCAAACACAAATCGCCTTACCTTTTGTGTTTATTTTCAGACCTGTATCTCCTAATACGACATAACATTTGTATACATTTTCTTAGGACTGTTACTGTATAACATTTGAGCAAATCATCTGGTTTTGAATATCAATATATCCAGAGTTTTGTCTAAACCGGGTAAAAACTTTAAAGTGACACTAGAAAACATTATTTCTGTTCGTCACAAACTGTATAATTATTCCTAAAATAGGAGAATGGTGTCGAAACAGAGCGTCAGACGACAGCTTTGTTTTTACGGAGCTCCGACGTCATGTTGTTGTTTACGTCCGTGGCGCCATCTTGTTTACGGGCGTCATGTTCTCGTGGGAATTGTTATACATCTTATACAAGATCAGCTCCACAGTATCACAGAAAAAAAACCCTGATATCTATTAATACTTATACAGTAGGGGTGTAACGGTATCCGTATTCGTCCCGTACCGTCACGGTTCGGACGTCACGGTTCGGCACATGCAGTCACACGGCGAATATGCCTTTTTTTACGAGTGGGAAAAAAGTCTGTCACTCAGGGCAGTATTACACTATATATAATCCAGGGGGCGGTATCGCGCCTAAAAGCCAGCCGCCCGTAAATAACAAATGAAGAACAGAACAACAAACACTACAAAACAAACAAAATACATGAAGAAGGAAAGTTAGTAGCGATGGCCAGTTCACACAACACACAGGAGCTAGAAGACCCACCTGCTTCGTTTAAATCAGGTGTGTGGGAACATTTTGTGTTCCCTGTGGACTATAACAATGATGGGGTGTGAGTTGTGGATCGGACGAGGACGGTGTGTCGGCGTTGTTTCACAGCGGCGCGGTATGCTAGTGGTAACACGTCCAACATGCTAAATCACATCCGAAGGCATCACCCAGATTTGTCAATCACCGGAGCCCGGCAAAAGACGACAACTGTTCAACAGCTAATCCCCGCTGTTTTTAAGAAGCCAATAGAAATGACAGCCGAGAGACCGAAACAAATAACCGAAGCAATTGGCATGTATATTGCAACGGCAATGCGACCTTATGCAATAGTAGAGGACCCCGGCTTCAAATATTTATTGAAAGTGCTCGAGCCTCGCTATAGTGTCCCATCCCGTGCGCACATGAGCCAGTCCGTGGTCCCTGCAATTTACCGGCGCACACGAGCGGTTGTTGAGCACGAGTTGTCCGCTGCATCCGCTGTTGCACTAACAACAGATGGATGGACCTCCCGTGCTACTGAAAGTTATCTCACAGTGA